AGCAAACGTGATTCGAGCCTTTGAGATTCTTGCACTGACTTCATCAGACACATTTCCGTCAGAGCTAATACAACTACCGAGGTATGTGAAGTTTTCCACAATCTCCAGGGTTTCTCCTTGAATTGTAAGGGATATGTTCGCAGATGGTACGTTCTGAAGCAGGACTTTGCACTTTGAAGGTGCAAGGCGCAGCCAAATGATGAGATCGAATTATGTTTACGTAACCCTTCTAAACTGAACTGATTGCAATCCCTCCTCTCTGCATTTCGGAGCCACGCCATGGACAGACAACCTACTCATTTACTAAGAAGATGGAAGTTCGGATTCAAACCAATCAGAATCACATGGACTCCCTTCTAGCTGCTTCAATATTGTATATCGCTGTATATTAGCGTCGTGCAGGGTGTTTCCGGTGCGATACGATACCGTCAGCTCTATTCAAGGACTGGATATCAGACTGTTTGAACCCTACATAAATGTCCATACTAGTCCAGGACACAATTCGCCCAGGCGAATCATCAGACGTCAAGTGCTAATCAGTGCGCGCGCCGGCCGTGAGAACTGGGTTACGTGGAACGCTAGGAAAATGGAAGGGGCGTTGAGTCGTGTAAGAGTCTTTATTAATGAATGGCGTCTTGACCCCTGAACTGAGCACTCGGAACAAGAGTTCTCGTGGCCATCTGCTGTCACCCAGTTGGACTCTGGAACCCTGTTCGACCAAGCAGAAATTCTATGAAACCTCGGAGGCCTGGAACTATGTCTTCTCCGAGCTTCTCGTCCAGATGACGTCTTAGTTGCACTGCAGTGCTCTTCCATGGAGAGAGTCGATAATAGTGCTGATAATAATAAGTGCGATAATAATCGATAATAATTAATCGATAATTGTCTATAATAATAGGATAGATATTTTCCCATTTCAAAACAAGACTCCGATATTATCAAATTTTGGGAAAAGGTATTAAAATAGCTTTATGCGGGAATGATGTGAGACACAAGCTCACCAGTAGCCCACGTATTTTTCAGAAGTTATGTGTTGCACCACCCAGTAACTCTCTTCCAACCATTGAATATAATTTTGTAAAAGCTGCGAGTTAATAACACTACTAAATGTGTAGGTCATATGTCAGCATAAATAGGTTGGGTAAAGGTACGTGTGCCGTGATATGCGTGAACCTTGTACGAGGACCTGATCTTGCTTTGCAGTCATTTGTCGGGACTGGTTTGCTAGTCAGTTTGTTGGCCTGTGTCCATGATAGAGTTCCAGTGATAAATAATAATAAGTAATCGTCTTTAACAAGGTAGTAAGTGAATGATAGTGCTCAGAACTTCATGTCCTGTTCTTGATGATATTAATGATGCCCAACACTACCGGAGTCGAGTGTCCACCCCTATCTGGACACGCAGCTTATACCGTACTTATGCTTTTCCCTGCACTGATTTTGCTCTCGTTACATTGCAGTGTTTGGTAACCCGACTTGCATACCATGGTTCGTGAACCTTACATGCAAGAATCAGTCGTTGCCCATTCCTTACTTTCTTCACGCCTGAACACAGTTTGCGATAGTTGTTTGCGTGTATCAGGCACACTGTGTTCCTGTGCAGCGTGCGGTGTGATGCACTATTGCGACCGTCATTGTCAACGAACAATGTGGTCCATACATAGAGCAGAATGTAAGCAATATGGAGCCGTTAAACATGTACCAAATGCCCAAATTCGTCTTCTTCTGCGGATGATTCTACTCAAAGCAAGCGAGACTTGTTATACCTATACGTGTGCCCATTCAGGATAGCAAATCTGGAGTTTTTTTCACTTCGCTGATGTCGCGTAAGCTTGGGCCGTACATAGGCTCACTTTTTTGCAGATAGCGATGATTTCCGAAAAGATATGAAATTTTTCACCGAGTTCTCCACTGTTCTACAAACTGTATCTCAGTTTTTTCGCCAAAGACTTCCTATCCCTGAGTCAGCCATATTTGATTTATACTGTCAGGTAAGGCGCAAAAGTCACAACGTCTAATTGTTTTCTTCCGGGAAGTTGAAGATAAATAGCTTCATGATCACCGATTCCAGCGGTGTGCCTGTTGGCCCTGGAATATTTCGACGGTACGTTCGATTTACTTCAAAGCCATTAACAGTCACTTTTTTCTTTAAGCGCCTCCCGGTTTGATCATTCATGTCGTCCTAACCTCGAATACATCTTTCAGGGCAAGAACCTCATCTGTTTGCCTGTACTTCCTATAAGCACTCCGGAAGAGGTATGTCTTCGGGATTATCCCATGTTCCGGTTTCTGTTGGTTCCCAACTCTGTTAATTGTACTGCTGTGTAACATTATTGTCGTCCGTTGTGCCATGTATATGCACACGTGGCGAAATATAATCCTACTTTCCTTTTTATAAGAATGTAGACGACATTTTAGCCTGCAACAGCCTTACAGCAAAACGAAGCTTACCTCGAATCGTGATCGATATGGTAGCATTTTCTTACTTTTCGGGTCGCAACACACGGTTACGAGCAACTAATCTAGGACAGACGAGTTCATATCCGTGACCTACGCAGCCAGTCAGCTGGGTTATAAACGTCGGTCAGCAGTTGAGAGTGATACACGTTCGACTCCCCACTCTTGTTTGATTCAGGCTCGGATCAACTACGTGGATCCATTGGCAACGAGAGAACAAAGACGAAAGGAACTACTCGAACGTTATTTCTTCTACTGCGAATGCCCTCTTTGTCAGGATTCCGAAAGGGTAGGTTTCTCCCCACTTTTTCGCCAACAATTTGCTTTGCACCGTATGTCCCCGTGCCAAACCATTGATTTCGGATAAATACGTCGCTGGATGTTTCTGTAGTGCACCTTCATATATGTAAATATCAGCGCAGCTGCACTATGCCAGGTATATTTAGAAACTATTTGGCCTTGGTTTGATGACAGCGCAGGCCCACCGTGTGCCTGTTGGATTCAGCTGTTAGGTACTTACCATTTGCGCCCGCAGATAACCCGACTTACCTTATGTATTTACCATGGATTTTAACTGTTGTCATCACATGATTTAGCATCTACGGTCTATCAGTGTGGAATGCTGAAGGAATTAGAAGTCTTTCCTGCTTTTCCTCCCCGTTTTGTTCTCTAAAGTTTACGTAGGGACATTAGGTTGTTTGGGCACAATTCAGCACAAACTGCCTGTGACATTGCCTGACCCCCGTGGGATCTACCTGCGCAGTTCAGCGTTATTTTATCCATGCCGTTTATTGTCTGAAAAAGCGTCGAACAATGGTCAACTCTGAACACATCCATTCACTAAGTGGTGAGGGTACGATGAGATGTAATTTACTGGTCCCGCTAACAGCTTCATCCTTTAGCCGTGGAAAAAGTGCTGCGCAACTTGTTGAACAGCTTTTCTGACTGAAAACTGATGGCTCCAGGGATAGCAGTCCTCGCCTTGTGAAGCAAATTCATCACCTTTTTCAGACCGTCCGCGTAGTGTGTATAGTAACACGAAGCGCACCGCAGCACTGTAAACTCGGCCCTTGACACGGATGTTACGCCTACGCCACAGGTGACGCAAGTTCACAAAAGTTGCTCAGGCCTTCCCAATCCGGATGGAAATATCATCTTTCGTGAGACACCCTGCGCCTGACTGCTGACGTTTTAGTAAATGCCTGCTAACAGATGCCACTGTGCTGTCACTTTCTCTCTAGATTGTCTGATAGGTTGTTTGGAGGTGTAGGCACCACTGACCACTTCAGGTTCGCCAGCATCAGGTCCTTTTCTTGTCGATGAAGATGATAATGAACAGCCGCGCCCCTTGGCACCAACATAGGTGGACTCGTTCGCATCAAAATGTCTGGTCACGTGGACGAGTCAGGGATATTCTTCATATTTGTGACTGGGAATGACCGAGGCTATCCGATAGACAAATAAATGGATCCACATTATTTCGAGGTCAAACAAGATACCACTGAGGCAACTTTTTAAGGTCTCTGGAATACCACATTTTCGGAGGGGTCATTTATTAGCACACATTCATGAGCGTTTGGTTCACTTATCCATGTGTCCGTACCATTGTTACCGATGCTTTCCCCAGTTTTCCTTTACACGGAAGGCTGGTTCGGTGCGTGAAACCGGGAACACACGCGATATGTTTCTAGGCCGTTAGTGGTCAATTTCTCGTGTGAAACACGCCATTGCGTTACGTACCCTAGAACCCTCAGTCTCGGCTTTCGTTTCGTGATCACGCTTGTTCGGGGACTCCATAAGTTTCATGCTACTGAAAATTCGTCAGTAGTATGAACGAGACACATTAGTAGCCGTACACCACAGCGTGGTGAGTCGTGATGGACTCGGATAAGCCTGACTTTGGCTAAAACGACAGCGATCAGTTTGTGATGCATCTTGTCACCCCGTGTAGCGCATTCATATTAAATTTTCTCAGGTGTCGTGTGACTTGCTGCCAGAATTTTTTGGATACATGTGGAGCCGTTTAATTTCAAAAATCCTAAAGATAAAGGAACGCCTATTTCCTTCTTCTTGTCCACCGGATTGAATTAATAAATCCTGATTACGGCTTCTGTGATGCTCATTTAATCGAGTGCCACGGAAATAGCTTTCCGAGCTTTCATTTCTCGGTTTCGCTAGCTGTAATCCCTTCTCCGGATATATGGTTGCTAAATTTACTAGTGTGGTTACTACCATCATCATGTTCATCAAAGACAGCAACATCAGTGTTGGTACTGATGCTTCACTGCCGTAATGGGTACTACCTACTAGGACTGGTTCGGACGAGAGAATGAGACAACTTTGTGAATGTCCCGGGTGGCAGATGCTCATACTTGACGACCAGTGGAGGGAATCGCATAGACTGCAACGCAAGTAACTGCACTAGCGACTCGGAAGCACGCACGGCCTTAGATGGTCCGTGATAAAATAAGTGAAATGAGTTGGACGCCTAGGTTAAACACATGTTCAGCTGGTTACATTCACTCTCGTCTTAGTAATTTTACGTTATCCTCCTCCTCATCATCATCATCGTGAGTGTTGACGCTGATTCTTCACTGTTGTTCATCTAATTATATTTGAAGTCTCACAGTGAACAGAAGAGGAAAAGTAAGTGAGAGAAAGGGCACGATGCTGGCCCATCGCGAGCATTCTGAGGTGCGTCGGGTTGAGCTGTGGTTGCGGCCAGGGGGAATCTGTTACTGGGTCTCCAGCAATGACACGATCCCATCGGAGGTTCAATATCTGGGTCAGGTTGGCTGAGTTATAACGCAAACGGAAGCTCCGGCTTTGAGTAGCGCTTTGGATATCTTTCCCCCATGACTGTTTATATCTGACATCGGACCATCAGGCAGGCGTTCTAGGAGCTGGTTCCGAAAGTATCGTTTGGTTTCTGGGTTCATGAGCTTCTCAACGGCTAAGCAAGACTTGCATCTGTTTTTGCGTAGATCTGAAAAGCACACCGAAAAGAAGCAGCACACAATCGCATGGTCGGAGTCCACCCCAGCATTTCAGGAAGAGGGGCAGGCGTTGATTGATCCTCGCCATCGGTAACTGAAGGCGATGTGGTCTATTTGGAAACGGGACTGGTTCGTTGGTGGGCACCACGTTTTCAAGAGATTTCCGCTATTCCTGAAATCGATACAGTCTGAACTATCTCTCATGGGCACATACTTGTGGCAGATGCATTTCGATGTCCGTGCACCTCATGTCCAACGGAAGACAACCACCCGTTTGAGCTTCAGCAGCGCTTAGTCTACATACCTGTGCGTTCGTGTCTGATGTCGGCATCTGAGCCTTTCGCCCGTTGTAAAACAGCACATAGAGTGTCACTGAAACTCTTTAGCAGATTCAGAGATACAGTCAGTTAGGGCGCACACATATACAATAAACAGGGTGCGATGGACCTCACTTCCTCAAGATTCTCTTCCAAACGTTGTCAAACGGACCGGATGTGACTACCAAGGGGTATCCAATCAGATAGAGACGCTTCCACTCGGTCACTCAGTACAGTACCTCCGCCAGCATATCGCGTTACAACGGCCTGGTCATCACCAGAGGCGTGTAGCTGGAACCTGGAAGGTATCGAAGGGCAGTCGGTTCAGTCACAATACTTGTGTAATGTGTCCGCATTCCCGACGGACAGCAAGGAATCCAACGTACGAGCAAGGGCCGCCTGTCATTCTGTTTGTTTCAGTGTGTGAACAATAAAGTCGGCTAAGTATACAGGCTTTCGGGGTTTGAAAACAGACTTCGAAGTGTTTAGGTTTATTACTGAAGAAGCTACAGTTGAGTGTGGTGCATGGCATGCGAAGCGGTCAACCGTAATACTGAGACCTGCGGAGAGGCTACTCATATCTGTGTGGGGTAGGATAGAAGAGCGCAAACGTGAAAGTATAAGAAGGGTCGCGTCAGCGGAAGCACTTTTTCGCTTATCCGCCCTCATGTATGCAGCAAACAAGGCGACCCAGCTGGTGGCAACACGCGACGGCTGATGTGGCGTGAGAGTATTGTTAGGTGTCAGTGTCATGGTTGTACGTGGGCTGGGATACTGCCAGGTCGCCCAGACCCAAACAGGGGACGATTAGGATCCTCGACCAAAGCCTTTGGCTCAAAAGCCTGACTGGTGGGGAATGCTAGTATGTTGCCAATCTTACAGATCGAGTTGCCACACATTCCAACCTGGAACACCAGGAGACCTTTGGTCAGACCACTAAGCATTGACCAACCTGTAATGAAAGACCCTGTGAATGTCGCACGGACACCACCCAATATAGCTCCATCGGTCACGTTGGTACGCAAACAGTCATACTACGGTAAGGTCCAGTCTCTTCGTATCCTTCTCTGAATCCAGATTTTAATACAGTCGAAAATCACATGATTGGTTACATATTTCTTTATCCTGCAGATATACGCGCTTTCGTGCTTTGTGTGCCTGTAACTGGCGACCCCTGATTCGGACAAATCACGCAACTCGATGCTCTCTGTCCTGTCACTATTAAGTTGCGTTTACACAAGCAACACTGAAAAGATAACCCTAAACTAGTAGATGGATTCAGCTTATAGGTCAGTCAGGTAGGTAGTTTAGGAACAAATGAGACGCATTCTTGAATAACACCCCTTCCGCATTAAAGGGTGTCACGACAAAACGTCATTATCATTTACTACGTTTTATACTGGGTCAACTGTAGTGCAACCCAAGGTTGCGATGTGGGAAAATAAACCTTTGAGCCTCTTTTGGTGCCTCGCTCCTACTAACTGGCTCACCGCACTTTTTGTTCCGCATTACTTATGTAGGATGGGAGAATCAGTGCATTGATATGCTGTGGCACGCCACTTCAGCCACCTGGTCCCAAGCTTCTGCCGTCCAATCAGACAGAACAACCGGGTCTCGCGAGACGATGTTGTCAATGCGATTCTGTGTACGATGATGCATGCATTCAGCAAGTTATCACCCAGTTTTTGGAGTTTCGGGAGAAGGCGGAAACAGTGGAAGCTAGTGAGTAACGTGATTCGAGGCCTTTCAGCTACTAACACCACCTAAGCTCTAATTTGACTGGCAGATATGCCGTCCCTCACTTCCAACGCCTCCGAGTCCTACAGTGAATCGTGAACTTTGCTTTAAGCCCCTATACTGTGTCCTATGTTTCATGGATGTTGGCTGTGAGTTCTGCACTTTGTCAGGACTTATGTTACGGTTGTGGTCTTGAACGAGATGTAGTGTTTCGTGCGAGTATTCCAATGATGCAGCTGTTCTTATCTTGCACAAGTCGAACAGCAGGCCCGTGCTTTTTTTACACCGAAGTTCGCAACTTGTGCCACCCTCCTGGTTGCTGATGAAAGCCCGTTCGGTCTGGTTTCTATCGGTTGTTATAGCTAAGGTTCTCTGAAAGCGGAAATCACAGTGAGTGTGTCGCTTTGTGTTGCAGTATCCATGCAAACAATACCGTGCAGACTTTCGGTGACCAGATTGTATCCACCTTAAGTTATTGCATAAGGAATTATAGCAAGGATTTGGTTAAATAAACTCGAAAGCATGATTCTCAATCATCTAAGCTTTCAAACATTCGACACCACACTGCTCAATATCATGTTGAGATAGTTTCTTTTTTGGGGGGGGGGACAACGGACTAGTTTGAAGGAGGTGCGTGATAATCCCCAACTTTTCACATTTTCATTGATGACCATCAGTTACGAGGGGTCTTTAAAAGGCGGGATTTGCCCGTTTCTAGAATGTAATGCGATACGCGCTGTATCCTGAATCGTTCAGCTGTAGCACCCTTTCGGTGCTTAGCTGCCATGCCATACGAAGGAAGCACGAGGGCTGGGATACTGCCAGGTTGCCCAAGCCTAGACAGGGGAAGTCGAGTGGCAGAGGTCGGGTTCGACCCACGGACCTTCCAATCAGTAAATTCGCGCCTCCTGGATGGGTGTAACTGGATGGATAGCATCCCAACTTATTCTTCGTAGCGATTTATCATTTATCAAGCTTGTTCGAGAGTCGAATCGTGTCATTGTCAATGGTCCCTATCACCATCGACAACATGACATCAATGTTCAACAATGAGCGATTCAGCTACCTGCACCTAATCAGTCCCAATCACGGATATGAGGGTAGCAGATCGCCTTTCAGGATTGATCTTATCCTGTTTTTCTCTATTTGTTGTGTACGTGTTTATCCACGCCTGATCTTCTTATGGCACTAACTCTTAAAAATGAAGGAAATATCCGTTAGTTTATGGTCACCGAAAACTACACATTTGAAAGAAATGACTGGGGACGTCCACAGTGCTACACTGTGTCCTAACATTCTTTGAACTAAAAGTTGATCGAACCTGTCCTTGTAAGGAGAAAAAATCAATGCTTACCTTAAACGAATCGGAGAGCATTCAATTCATACCTCTGGTTTATCCGTATCGGTAATTTGCAAAACCATTTAGGAAATGCAAGGTGAGACGGCCCAAGTGGTTAGAGTGCAAATTTACTGACCGGAGTATCCGTGGTTCAAACTCGACCTCTGCCTCTCAACTTCCCCTGTCTAAGCTTGGGCAACCTGGCAGTATCCCAGCCTTCGTGCAACCTTCGGGTGGCGTGGCAGCTAAGCACCGCAAAAGTGCTACAGCTGGACGGAAAGCAGTGTGAAACGTCCGGGTCGGCCAACCTGAATCACAATGTTAGATTCTGGTGAGAATCCTTTGTTTCTTACCGGAACAATTTGACATCCATCATAGGCGTAACACGCTACTCGTAAGGTTTATGAAAACTTTCCGACAATTCCTGGAAACCTTATGAATAGTGTGAAAAAATGAGGGGGCCTGGAGCAGCACATTCAGTTGAATAACATCAGAAGCGAGATTTAGCTGGGATTCAAGTGAGTCTCATGAAAACCAAATCGACGTGCAGATGAGTGAATTAGACGAATTCCTCTATCAAGCTTCGGGCTTCTGTTGCCCCCGCTCTTCACCTATCGGTGTGCCACAAACTTGACATTCATGCATACAGGACCCGGACATACGACCCACGGTTGATGGGACTGCCTGCAGCATGTGGCAGATAACCACAATTGTATCATGGACCTCAATTTCTCCGCCATATCTGCTACATGTGCTTTTGGTGTTTTCAAGCTCGAATTATCGAGGTGCCCTTCGCGACTGATGTGTATGTCCGGATATAAACTGGATAAGGAGTCACCTAGACCGCAATCACAATATCGAATGTGCTGGGCTTTGTGGAAATGCAGGATTCGAGCTAACAAACGGCCAGTGGTGCTTCTGCTCCAGTGTCATCGTCTTTTATACATAGCTACTCCGTGAGGAATGTTCCACACCTGGATCTCGACCAGCTGATTAGGCCGTTTCTCCCAGTGCATAACAGTTTTACCTTCAACCTTCCTTCAGCAAAGCTACATACTGTATGTATGTATCACGGAGACTGCTGTGATGATTTAGAGCAACTTATCCCTTCATACAGGAAACTACTCACAAGGTTGCTGAAAACTCTTCAGTGACCCATGACCGGTTTCGCCCTTCTTGGGGCTCATCAGTCAGGCGCCGTCCCCTGGTGTCCGTCAACCTTGTGTTGTACTTGAACCGCAACTAGACGGATGTCGACAAATAAACTCATTTGCGTACCAATTTGGTTTTCACGAGACACTCAGCTGAATCTCTCGCTTATCTTATCCAGTTTAGTCTCCCGTGTAAATCAATTTGATATACAAATCAGTGTATTTGTCAAATTATCTCTTCTCATCAGTCAGTCACTCATCCAGCTGTAACACCCTTTCAGTGCCTAGCTGCCATGCCACCCGAAGGAAGCACGGGGACTGGAGAGGCAGAAGTCGGATTCAAACCACGGACCTTCCGGTCAGTAAATTCGCACTCTAACCAATTGAGCCATCTCGCCACCTCTTATCAGAGTATGTGCCTTGTGAAACCTAGTAGGCCTTATTCATTCAGTTGAAACCGATCGACAAGTTATTGTCTCTCAAAATTTTGAAGATATATGAATTGTTTTCGGACTTTTCTGAAATCTAGATGGGCCTAAAGTGTGTTGGGCTCTCTCGTCACACCGGACATTATGTCAATCGTAACATGGTCAACCCCTTTGTGCTATGGTAGTCTGCTTCATTAATCACTATTCGCTACGCTTGTTCGTTCCGTTTCAGTTGCTGACGCTATTGCCTTATATCGTCAGATGCGTGAAATCAGTGAGCCAGTTGGACTCCGAGCCCTGAGTAACTACTGTTCCATTGGTGGAGACCAGGTTGACAGACACTCTTATTATCGGCTGTTCGGTCATCCCAATAGCGTCTATCTTGCCCAGGTTTGCCGTTCCGCTTGTGCAGGTTTCGCAGAAGAGTACACAGAACCAATTGCCAAGATCTTCGGGATATCGATCGGAAGTACCTCCTGGAGGACGACATTCGTTGACACACTGATAGCTTGCGGTTTGGATCTGTTGTACTGGAAAACACTTTTTCTGCCGTGGCCAGCCTTTGTCACTGGTCTACATGCGTCGATTTTTGCAGGTTTTCTTCTGCGACAGGTCACGGATGACAAGTTTCAGTCTCCGGAATATATGGAACGGATCAAATCAATGTGTGCTTCTACTCCGAGTGAACCCAACTTGGCTCAGGTTCTGTGCAGGCTGATTAATGTTGCAGATGACATTCTTGCTCCCTTCGCTCCGTTTGATGACCAAATACGAGATGCGCTTGTTCGACTGAGATCATATATGTGACAGAATCGTTGAATTTTAAATAGAGATGTACAGATAAATATAGTATTTCGAATGCCATGAATCACTGAGCTCATGTGTCCACTTGGAAATACAATCACCAAATTGTCCATCGAGGTACGCTGTATGAACAATAGAGTTAGCGACTATATTGAATCGCACAAATTCTGGAGTTGGGTTTTGTTTGCGACCTCTCTTAAGTCTGTTTGTAACAGTAACAGTTCAGCTGTAGCACGCTTTCGGTGCCTAACTGCTATGCCACCCAAAGGAAACACGAGGGCTGAGATACTGCCCAAGCCAAGATAGGAAGTCGAGTTGAAGAAGTCGCGTTCGAACCACGGACCTTCAGGTCAATAAATTCGCGTTCTAACCACTGAGCCACATCGCCTCCGGTTGAATCTTCGGTGAACACCCAGGGCGTGTGACTGAAAACTCACTTTATGTTCCAGCGATCTACCTGGTAACTGTGCTTATCAGTCCCATTCTCATTATATCATCCAGGTCTTCCTGCCGTCAACCGTACGTTCTCTTCCGATTATGTACAACTTGCGGGGCCCGATNCGATTAGTGAATCTCAACCTAGGCTATTAAGTGACCAAAAGTATAAGCTAATCCATGTCAGCCACCGTCCATATACTAACAGGGGTATTACTGAATACAGTAGGTCGTGGCTGCACCCACGAAGCCAAGAAGCAACTAGTGCGATGCGACGCACGGAGCTAGGAAGTAGCTCATCTACTAAAATAGAGAAAAAATATTGCGTACACGGAGGCTCGTCTCACGTTTGTAGAATTCGACGGAGATTACCAAAGAGAGCCACAAGAAAGCCATTTAAAAGTTATGCTAGCATCTATGATAAATTCTAAAATACAACAGTAGAACGGATGGGAACACAGACAAACGATCTCTCAAATAGGTGTCTTTCATTGTGGATACACGCGTTGCATTGGCCCTGCAATTACACAGCATAAGGGGAAAGAACAGATACGAATTTCCGGGTGGTAAACAGATCAGGAAAAAAAATGTGCATCTACAGTACTGGTCACAAATAATTAAGCAAGCTTCCAAAATACTGCCACACCGTCTGCTGTACACCGGATTGTTTTAAGCGGTGAACACCCCGATTGGTTGACAGAGAACGAAAAAGACTAATTGGTTGGAGAGAAGACGCGTAAAAAACCGGGGATGGGAAAGTCTGCAGCAAGTGTAGCCAAGGGTGTAGTCGTCGTGGTTAGTAAATAAAACCATGAATTCATCCCCACAGGGTGACGACGGTAGATGGCGCAGTAAGTAGACATTCAGATCTAGCGCACTGCAGCATGTCATTGTGTCGACAGATTGTGTTGGCATAGAGGCGAAGCTTCTTATGTATCACAGTCACCATAGGTGTGTCTCCCGTATTTCGCCGATGATTTGGCTAGCTTTCTGCAAGGCCTGATTTAAAACATGAAAAGAGCAAGTCAGTGCGATTAAAACATTTAGGAATAAAGATAAAAGTATAGCCCAGAAAGTAAAACAATGATGGCGTCTTGTCAACACAGCTGTTAGCTCTGTAACCGGATTCCAGCGACCTCAGCAGCTGGTAACACTATGGCGTCCGGTACGAGCTGGGACTGATAATCCCACAGAAAAGCTGTTCTCACAGTTTTCCGCACTGCCCCTTGCTCAAAAACGAACATCCCAAAGACAGGAAGTCCTCGTAGACGTCCTTCGAATCCACACATGGCGTCTGAGCAACTGGTCATCGGACTATACATCATCATGTCCCGTCTAGATGTGCGCGCCCTGAGAGTATTCCATCCTCCATCATTCAACTGTAACACCCTTTCGGTGCCTAGCTGCCATGCCACACGAGGGCTGAAATACTACCAGGTTACCCAAGCCTAGACCGGGAAGGTCGGGTTCGAACCACGGACCTTCCGGCCGGTAAATTCATGACAGTATCCCAGCCCACGTAGAACCATGATGCCTACGTCCAATCTACGTCTACGTCGGACCGTACAGGCAATAAGTGTAGGGAGCAGCTACTATAAAAGATACAACACTAGTTGCAGGATGATCCAACTTCAGCGTAAACTGTTAGACATCCAAATGATACACGAAAGCTAGAAGCGTCGTTATTCCGATGTAACAAACGAGCTGATCTTCCTAAAGGAAACTACTCACAAGGCTGCTGAAAATTCTCCGACGGCCCACGAGCGCTTTCGCCCTTCTTGGGGCTCATCAGGTAGGCGCAGTCCCCGAGTTTCCGTTAACCTTATGTTCTAATTGAACCCAAATGAGATTGTTTGCGAGAAATACGCCCACATTCACATATCATAAACGAGAGATTCAGTTGAGTTACTCGTGAAAACCAAATTGATTTGCTAATGAGTGCATTTCTCGATCTGATCTTCTCTTTCTTGAAGGGATACTAGTTTTCGCAATTTTGTTTTCTGCATTTAGCAATTAAACGGAAACGGGAAGAACTTGGTCGAAAATTTGGCGAATATGATTGCCGGAAAAGTCCCAAGCAAGATTTAATAACCAGTAGTGGTACGTTCATGGATTTGGTCAGTTCTGTCACGAACAGTGTTGATCTATTGCATCAGCACAACGAGCAGATTCGGGTCACCATTTTTAGACATGTAACCTTAATCACGTCCTGTGGTGAGCTTTGAATACACAGCAAATCTTTATTAATACTGAATAATCTGAAAAGTGCGGTCATCGACGACAGAACGGGCGTGAGTACGAACGGAGTTTAAGGCACCGAAGCTGCCTTAGACCAAACTTACCATCAGCTGTCACTGCAGTTCCTGAGGCCGGTGGGCGTTGACCAAACCAGACAATAAATTATCAATTGAAACCCACCATAACGACTAGAAAATATAGATAGGGGTCATCTGTAACTAGTCGTGTGTATATGGTATAGGGAAAGCCTGCGTCATTGAGTAGCTAGTACGGAAACGCTGCCAGTGTTTGAAAATCACTTCGTCAAGAAACTAGCTGACAGTCACCCGAAATAAACTGGCGTATACAACGCGAGCAGTAGTTGGATCCATTTCGTAAATGGGCAGCGCTGATTGGGACGTCTCTTGGGAGTGTTACAGAAGTAACCAGGGTATAAAATACCAAATCTTGCGGCACTGTCCTTGCTGGTTTGGTAAGCAAGGGTCGGGACCACAGTAGTCCCTCCATCACGGATAAAAAAGTTTTGACGTATCTTGCGCTGGCTTCATGTGAAGAAAATCGCTCAGCTGTAGAACCCTTTCGGTGCCTAACTGCCAGGCCACCAGAAGTAAGCACGGGGGCTGGGATACTGCCAGGCTGTCCAAGCCTAGACAGGGGAAGTCGAGATGCAGAAGTCCAGTTCGAACCACGGACTTTCCGGTCAGTAAATGGGAATTTAATTGTCTGGATATTTAAAGAAGCTTTTGTGGGTATGGCTATAGGATATTTCATTGCGTCTGAGAAAGCACCAGGGAACTCGAGAAACAGCCTGCGTAACGCTATCGTACGTTTCCTCTTCGCAAGTGACAATTCTTATTTCAACTCCAACGTTTTCTCACGAATGTGTACGTATGATATAGCCGTACGAATTGGGAAGAGTGCAAGCACAAGTGGCCGCAACCGTTTAACAGGATATTTGCATGGCAATGATTTAATAGCACAGAGTGTTTCTGCTTGGTCCTGGGAGGGTTTACAATGTGGGAAATTCCCTCAACGGGAGAGTTTAGCTTCAAAGAGGGAGATATATTGTGTTAGTAAAGAATCGCCGGGGAATCCTGCTGCGATTCAACTTGACACTGGTGTACAGACTCACCTTTAACATATCCGCCGCTTCTCTACGTCTTTGGGCAACTCGGTCGCTTTCTTGGAGTAGGGTATCGTACTCCTCCTGTCGATACAATTTACTAACCAGTTCTGATTGCAAGTTGTCCTTCACATAGTTGACCAAGAAATGCATGATAGCCTTAGGGACGGTGTCTTGTATGTTCTTTCGCACGATCAAAAAGTACGACCGAATCAAACGACCTGAGAGGACAAATGGGAACGGATTTTTTAACGTCTCAGATACCAAAAAATCGGTACAGGCAGGTCCCAACACTTCGGAATCGGGGTAGAACACGTAGGCTGCATGCGTGTAAATAAAATTACTTGCCTGGGGTGCGCGAAGTTAGCAGCATAGACAAACATTCTAGACGTGATGAAAGGATTAGCGTTTCGGACAGAAACCTGCGAAAGTTGGCCTTCGACAAAACATACACTGATTAGTATTTCGAAATGTGTATTCACTAGTGGTGCATACACCTTAGATAATTCAGTGTTAGCGCGTCGGAAACGTAGCAGAGCTTCCTCCGGAATATGGATCTCCTCAGTCCCGTGAACCCTATCGCTGGATTAATGCAGTGATATCTAGAACCCCACAGAGAGGGGTGAATGCTGTCGCTAATTTACGCCCGGATATTTCTACGATTGCCTTTTTCAGAAATCAATACGATCTGACATGCAGACCGGCTACTATTCAGCTGTGGTGAGTCGGGATGTTGAAAAAAGCACGTCTAATCACCGGTTTCCTCCGATACGCATCCTTAATACCGCCTAACAGGATTTGAGCTTTCCGTACGAAAGCTTAGATCAAACGAGTCAAACTTGGTCGTGCCTTAGTTAATAAACCCACTTTCAAAGCGGTTATCCGTAGGCTTTGTTTTCAGGACGAGTAGAGATTGACCACCGTGCTAATTCGATCGTGGAAAACTGGATCAGTTTCGTGTAACTTGAAGCCCGGTCTGTGAATTTCATCAGTACACATGAATGCAAAGTGGAACCTGACCCTCTTGTTGATTGGCTGTGTTTGACTACAGTTGACTGAGCTGTCAATTGTGCCTTACCGAGGAATTTCGTCCTACCACTGCGGCAGTGTTGTTTGTGACAAACAATCAAACAGCTCAAATTAGTGAATAGCGAGTAACAACAGGCTGTTTTAAGACCATGGGAACAGTCTTACTACTTCAGGTGATGAGATCTCAAGGAGAGATTAGACACCCAGATATTACGTTCATTGTGCATTTTTCGACAATTATAGCTTAAGCGGGATCAAAATTATCAGAATATGAAATACAAACGTATAGTATCCTTTTTT